CTCTCCAGCCTTCCAGAGCAGCCCCAGGAGTCCCTGCAGGGGCACAGAGGGTGGAGGGATGCCTGTGCTGGGCATCGCAGAGGCCTCTGGCATCGGGGGCCCTGGCAAGAGCAGATTTATGAGCAGGGCTATTTTATACTTTGCAGCTGCTTCCATAAACCCTGGACCAGCCTGGGGACGGGGGAGCAGCTGTGGGGGAACCTCCCGGGCCCTGGAGCCAGTGCCAAATCCTTCCTGCTATTTCTGAGCAGCCGGAGAAATCGTGAAATAAAAACCTCCAGAAAAAATGGCAAATCCCTGTCCCACTCCAGACAAGCCCAATCCTTCCCCCACACCAGGTGAAGGGAGAGCCAGAATGAAGCAGAACAGAGCTGGCCACGGTACCGGACTGCCCACTAGAGACCCTGATTCTCACCAGCTCTGGACGGGTCCCAGCTGCTGTCTGGTCCTCAGATGACCATTTATAAGTGGAGTGTCTGGTCTCGATCAGGGGTTCTGAGACCCTCTGAACTGTAGAAGTTCCCTTAAGTCACTTAGCTCAAACATGCCCACTGTTTAAGGTTCTATGTTCTAACTACTGGCTGTGTGACCTTGGACAAGTTACTTGACCTCTCTGGTTCTCTGTTTTTCCCATCTATAAAATGAGGAGAAATAATGACCATCTCATTAATAAGGTTGTGAGGGAGAAATAACATAATGTCAGTAGTTCATAGCAGGTTTTTTTGTAACAGCCAAAAACTGGAAACCACCCAAATGTCCATCAGCAGGTGACCCAATAAACACATTGTAACACACCCATACAAGGGAATACTACTCAGCAGTAAAAAAGGAGTGAAATATTGATATCTACAGTAACATAAGTAAATCTCAAATTCTGTATGCTGAGTGGAAGAAGCCAGACCAAAAGAGCACACGCACACTGTATGGTTCCATTTATATAAATTCCAGAAAATAAAGAATCACAGCCCTGGCTGGGTGGCTCAGTTGGTTGGAGCGTCGTCCCATACATCAAAAAGGTTTCAGGTTCGATTCCCAGTAGGGCACATACTCGATGTCTCTCTCTCTCTCTCCCCCTTCCTCTCTCTCTAAAATCAATAAAAACATATCCCCGGCTGAGGATTAAAACAAACCAAAAAAAAAAAAAAATGAATCACTATGACTGGTGATTAATAGTTGCCTGGGGCTGGGGCTGGGGGACGGACAGGGGCAGTGAGGAGAGTTCACAAGGGACACCAAGCACCTTTCAGAGGTGATAGGTGGAATCATCTTGATTGTGGTGATGGCTTTAGGAGTATACACATATGTCAAAAGTATCAAATTGTACACTTTAAATATGTGCATTTGTTACGTGTCCATTAGACTTCAGAAAAGCTACAAAAAGTGAGGCTCCAATAGTCCATTTATAAAAGGCGGCGGTTCCTGTTATTAATCGTTGTGTCCGGACGATTCTTTGTTGGATTCATCTCCTCCCCTAGAATACAGCCTCGGATCTGTTTTGCTAACAGTGTGTCCCCCATACCTGGCACACAGTAGGTGCTCGTTGCATCATTGTGGTTGGAAAACAAAGGGTCTATGACCCTGCTACTTGCTCCTGGGCCACCTCGGAACCCAGGGGGTTAATGAATCCAAACCAGGGCAGACTCAAGGATTCCAAGCCCCTGTAAATGAGAAATAGGCCAGACCTCAGTGCTGGGCAATAGTGATGCCAACACCCCAGGGGGGCAGCGGGGCGTCAAAACAAGGAAGTGAGACCTAAGATAAAATGCAGTGGACACAAAATGCGTGTCCCCCACCCCACTATCAGGAAAGGGGCAAGGCCTTGGGACCACAGACAAGGGTATGGTGAGTGTGGAGAGGGGGATGTGGTAATGGAAGGGTTGGCACACACGCCTCCCCTCAGCCTTGCACACCTGCATGCACACGCATGCACGGAGCACCTACTGTGCACCAGGCACTGTGCCGAGAGCTGGGGGAGGGGGCAGTGGTGCATAGAGCCCGGGCCCCTCTCCCCTTGGACTTCACGTCTTGGTGGTGACAGTTACCCTCAGACACTCTGACTTAATTGGTCTGGGTGGGGTCCAGGAGCCCAGGTTTTTAACAGGTCATCCATTGTGCAGGTGGGGTAGGATCATCCCTCTTTATCTATATGGAAATGATGGCCCAGAGAGGTGAGGCGAATTGCCCAAGGTCACACAGCCAGGAAAGGGTGGAATTGGCATTGACCGGGGCAGTCTCACTGCAAGACCCAAACCACCTTAAACCCCCAGAGGGCTGAGGGCAGTGTGCCCAGGGCAGAGCAGCCCGGAGGGCCATTAGTTCTGTTCCTCCCGCTCCCGCCCTGGACGTGACGCCCAGGCAGCAAATGCCCAACCCCTAAGGCTGATCAGAGCAGGACAGGGCACAGGAAGGGGGCTTTTCAGCACCCCTACCCCACCACACTTCCCCAGAGGCCCCCATTCCCACACTGAGCTGGGGTGCATGTCCCGGGGTGGCTTTGCTCTCTCCTCTCCCCCTTTGTGGCCACAGCAGGCCTGGCCCTGGGACAGACTCCCAGGCTGAGGACAGCTGTGCGGTTTTACAAGCCCGGGGACAGTGGGGGCCTGTTCAGGCCCTGGCAGATTCCTGGATCTCTGGGACAGTGGAACCCGTCACCCTGCCCTCAAGCCCCCCCCCCCCCCGGCTCTGCCACAGCCACACATGCCCCCAACCACTGTCTCCCTCCATGGCTCACTCCCCACTGGTGCCCAGCCACATGTGTGCCCATAAAAGGCTTCTCCTGCGTAACCCCAGTGCAGATGTGAGGGCAGATGGGAGGGGCTCTAAGCAGGAGTGGGGCCCTGCTGTCCCCTCCCTCAAGGGCTCCATTCATTCATTTACTCACTCATTTGTTTAAAAAGCAGTAGAGCCCAGCAGAGAACTCAGACTCAGAAATCAGACTGCAGGGCTGGCTGGAATCCTGGCTGTGTGACCTGGGCAACCGACTTCCCCTTCTGAGCCTCAGTTTTGTCATCTGTGACATGGGAATAATAATGCCCATCTCACAGGGTTGCAAGTCTCGATGAGTTAATGATGTCCAGCGCTTAGAGCAGTTCTTGACCCATAACAGGTGCTCATTCATTGTTAGCAGTCGTTATTATTATTGAGCCCAGGGGACTGTGGAAGAGAGGGTGGTCGGGGGCTGTCAGGGAAGGCTCCCAGGAGGAGGGGACATCTAGACCAGAAGCTAAAGAATGACAGGGAGTTAACAAGGCGAGGAGGGGGTGGAAGTGTGTTAATAGACAGAGGGAATAGTAGTTATAAAAGCTCAGAGGTGCCCTGCCAGTGTGTCTCAGTGGTTGAGCATCGACCCATGCACCAAGAGGTTGCCAGTTCGATTCCTGGTCAGGGCACATGCCCAGGTTGTGGGCCCGATCCCCAGTGGGGGGTCACGCAGGAGGCAGCCAATCGATGTTCTCTCTCATCAATGTTTCTGTCTCTCTCTCCCTCCCCCTTCCTCTCTATCTCTCTAATATCAATAAAGAAAAGAAAAAAAAAATAGCTCAGAGGTGAGGGAGAGGTTGACTCCTGCACTGGAGCTCAGACCACCTCCTTAATCCCCCCACTGCTCCAGGGGACACCGGCTATGGCTAAGGCCCACACGCTATGTCTTGGTGGGGGGCAGTTGAGCATTAATGGGGATCCTCTGACCAGGAAGCTGCTGATTGGGAAATTCACCCCTGCCTACTCCCCAGGGATCTCCAGTTCCTGCGCCTGTCTTACTTGGTTGTTGCCTGTCTTGGGGAAACTTAATGCACCCCATGGGGGAGCCACACCCCAGGAGGAGTTCAGGAACAAGCAGAGAGCCTGTCACACCCAGAGAGGTTGAGTGACTTGGTCAGAGCCACACAGCGACCCGGGTATTCAGTGCTTGTATTCAGTTCTCCCCATGTGCTTGGGCGGGAGCTGGTCTGGGCTGAGAAAGGGAGGGCCCTTCCCCACTGAGCCAGACAGAGGCCATTGTGTGTTATGAAACCCTAATCCGGGCCCCCTCTGGATGGATGTGGGGTCGAAGGAGGAGAGGGGCAGCAGGGGGACGGCCTCCCTGCCCCCATCGCCTCGGGAGCCAGCACATGCTCCCGGCCAGCCACATCTGGATTCCAGCTGGCAGCTGGGGCAGAGGCCGCAGGAACTTGCCATCAAAGACAAGGAGGAGCCTGGCGGTGAGGAGACAAAGGCCAGGGCCGCCTCCAACCCCAGGCGCCAGCGAGGGTGGGTACAGCGAGTGTGGCATTGTCCAGGACACCCATCCCATCCTCAGCCACTCCGCAGGGGCTGGGACGCCGAAGCCTCCGCTGGGAACCCCTCCGTTGCCCATGTTGCCTCTGGGAAACAGAGGTGGGTGGCTCTCCTGTGGCCACGCATGGAACCTGGCTTGTGGCCTCAAGTCAAGGCTGGTGCTCAGCCTTGGGGACCAGTTACCTCCCCCATCCCCCGGGGACACCCAGCTTTCCTCCCTTCCCCCTTGACTCAGCCCCTGTAACCTAGATGATGTGTCTGGCCCAGAAAGCTGCCCCGTCCCCATGGAACAGCCCAGGGGAAATGCCCCCCATCTCCCAGGGGACTCATCCCCCCTTCATAAAACCAGCGAGACTCAGGCTGGAATAAAGGTTTATTGTGCTGGTTTGTTATAGCTCAGCACCTGGAGAGTTGTGCAGGGGTTGGGGGCCCCAGACGGAGGGATGGAGAAGACCCCCCCAGACCCCCCAAGACAGGACGGAGCTCAGGCTCCCTGGTCAAAGACTAAAGACGGCTGTGGACACAGGCTGCCAGACATCATGTGTGAGTGGAGGGCGGGGCCAGGGCCCCCCTGCTCCAGGCCCGTCGTCAGAAACCCTCCCCCACCCCCGCAGACTCCCCCAGAGCACGGTCTCCTCACACACAGCCCCGGGCTTCTAGGCTGCTTTGGGAGCCCGACAAAAAGGTTTAATTCATTCGCCCCATCCCCACAGCCCCACCGCCCAGCCCCACCAGCCACTGCGGGGCACCCTGGGAACATCGACAGCAGTCGTTTCCAGAGCGTGTTCCGCGGCAGTTTACACTGTAGCTGCTAAAACAAAATCACAAAGTGCTCCGCGGTCCAGAGCAGTTTGGGAAAGGCCGAGGGCGACCAGCTTCCAGGGGCCCTGACTGTAGGACTTGCCGGAGCCCTGGGGTGCTCCAAGGGGGCGCAGGGGGTCGAGGGGCGGTGTTGCCTCCACTCATTGGACTCCCCAATCCTTTTTCCACAGGGGACTTCGGGGAACCCAGTTTGGGAAATGCCCGTTCAAGGACCTGGCACTAGTGAGCAGGGGCCCTCCTAGAAGCTTCCCGACCCATCAGGCGAGCTTCTGGGGCAGCCCCGGGCACTTCTGCTCCTGCTGGTTAAAGTCTCCAACACGTTAGTCTGTGTTCTCTTGTTCCTCGATGGTGACGTTGGCGCTGCCGCAAGGGACCTGCGGGTGTTTCCTAATTGACGTGTCTGTAACCGGACACACCCTGGCCCCGCCTCCCCAGGCGAGCTGTGCTTTGGGATGTAGCCTTTGGGGCAGCAGGGGCAAGTGTTCTAGAACTTGGTGAGATTCTAGAACAGGGTGGACCCGAAACCAGTACCTCTGCCTGCTTAGGATCAGGACATGCTGGGATTTGCAGCTGGGGGTGGGCAAGGAGGGGGCATCGGAGCATTAAGGGCCAAGGGCCTCTCTATGCCCACAGAGGGGACCACGAGGGGTCCGACAGTCAGGGCCACAGCCCTGGAGGCCTGTTAGACGCTAGGGGTGACACTGCCACACGCACAGGGGCTTTCGGGGGTGCCAGCTGGATCCCCAGCTTCCTGGGCTAATGAGGGAGCCGCTTCTGGCTCCCCTGGGCCTTCGCGGGCCCCCACAGCCCCCGCTGCCACCGCTGAGCACGGCTCCTCGGGCACATCTGGCTTCTCCGCTGGGACCCCGCGCCCCTGGGCTTCGCGGTCCTCCTCCGGGCTGCCCGGCTCCTCTCCCGCCGACCTGCGCTCCGTCATCCTGGCTCCGTCTGTACCGCTCAGGGCCGCCCTGGCGGGAGACTTGAGGTTCTGGGTGGCGGCGAGGATGTCAGCCTGGAGCTGCTGGGAGGAGTCCAGGGCGTCCTCCGGCCGGCCATCGGGAGCCCTGTCGGGGACCTCGCTGAAGGCCTGGGGGCCCCCGGCCCGGTCACTCTGGTCCACGTACTTCTTCTTGGGGAAAGACGAGGGGTAGTAGGCGGAGGCCTTGTGCTTCTGGCGCGTGATGAGGGCAGCGCAGACGATGAACATGACCAGGAACACCAGCGAGCCCACCACGGCGATGAGCATCACGTACCGGCGGAAGAAGTCCACGATGCCGTCCAGGAAGTTGGTGGGGGGCTTGGGGCCCGCCAGGGGCGTAGGTTCGGGCCCCACCGACGTGGGGCTGAGGGCTGGGGTCCTGGGGGGCGGGAGGCTCGGGGAGGAGGCTGAGGAGCCATCAGCCTCCCCACTGCCCCCCATGTCCTCCAGTAAGGAGCCCTGCATGAGCGCGGAGTGGGCCCCCACGGGCAGAACCCGCAGGAGCAGCAGCAGCGACACGGCGAGGCTGGGGGCCATGGCAGAAACCATGCTGCCGGGACCTATGGGGAAGGGACGCAGGAGAGAGGTCAGGGCGGGACTCCAGGGCCTCGGACCCCGAGGAGGTGCAGGAAGCACCGCATATTCCAGCACATTCCCCTCCCCATCCTGAGCCTCCCTGCTCCTTCGTATGTGGGGGTCACACCTGCCCCACCCACTCTGCCCTGAGGTCCTGGAGGGCAGGGCTGAATCTCAACCTCAGCATCCCGGGGCTCTGTGTCTGGTATACAGTAAGTGCTCCATAAATGTATCTTGACTGACCTGACTGAATTAATCATAACCATTGACCCTTTTCCTGCTTACCATGCCCAGGTACTATTGTAAGTCTTTTATGTGGAATTTCTCACTGAGTCTTGAGAACCACCGGATGAGGGAGGTACTATTATTAGCCCATTTTCCAGGTTTGGAGACTGAGGGGTTCGTGAGTTGCCAAGGAAGAGCAGGGGTTTGAAGACAGTAGGGCTGAGCACGTGAGGAACTGAGGAACTGTCAGCAGAACCCCGTCCCGTGGGGAGCCCTCCCCAGCAGCCCCTAGCCCTGCCGAGGTCTCCTTCATTCTCTGGAAGTTCACAGGTCTCGAAGCCTCACACTTTTTGAGCTCAGCAGAGGACCTGCATGCCAGGAGCACGCTGGGAGCATCTGCCCCTCGGCTAACCTTCACCTCCAGGCTCAAAGTGGGACCCAAGGCTGCAGGGGATCCCCCTCCCCCGTGCCTGAGACAAAGCAGGGGCTGCTGGAGCCTGAGCCCACCACGAAATGGGAACCAGCTGGACCCTGCACCTCCCTCTCCCGCTGCCAAGCTGCTCCCAGCATGAACCCCCAGACCCTACCTGGCCCAGACAGCTGGCTAACTAATCGATTCCTCATGGGCCTGGTTTACAGAGGAGGAACCTGGCTTCTAAAACATGAACCCTCCCAGCCAGCCTGAGTAGGGCGAGGCGCTCAGATAAACCCTGGGACCCCTTTCTGTGCCCCTCAGGTCACCCCGGAGAATCCCATCCTGACCCAGGACCCTGACACTGGGTGGGGCTAGAGGCTCCAAGACAGGAAGCCTCGGGATCCCCTATCTGGGGCCCTCTCTCAGGGAACTGAGACGGGAAGGCGGAGGCCCAGAGAAGGCAAGGGGCAGGCCCAAAGCCACACAGCAAGTTCCTAGGCTGGAGAAAGAAGTCAGGTCCCCAACACCTCGACTGCAGGTCCCCTTGAGTGCCTAGGCCTGAAGCCCTGCTTCAATAAACGGGCGCGGTGCTGACCTCACGGTGACTTTGGGGGTTCAAGAGATGAGGCGGGAATGACAATAGGCCATAGAGTGTCTTGTACTAAGTGACCCGGGGCTTCCTAATGAAAGTGTCATGAATTGAAATGAACTGTGCTGACATGAATTTGGACAAACTGGCTCAGATGGCAAAAACAAAGTATAATTCCAGGACATAAAAAGAGGCAACACTGCCCTGGCCAGGGTGGCTCAGTGGATAGAGCATCAGCCCAGGCACTGAAGGGTCGTGGTTTGATTCCTCGTCAAGGGCACGTACCTGGTTGCAGGTTTGATCCCCGGCCCCGGTCGGAGCCCCTGTGGGAGGCAACCGATCGATGTGTCTCTCTCGGATGGATGTTTCTTTCTCTCTCTCCTCCCTCCTTCCCTTCCACTCTCTCTAAAAATCAACAGAAAAAAATGTCCTCGGTGAGAATTAACCAAAAAAAAAAAAAAGAGAGAGAGAGAGACAACTATTTTCAGATGGGGAAACTGAGGTTCAGAGACAGTGAGCTGCCCAAGTACATAGAGACGGTAAGGGTCAGAGCTGGGGTTTGAACTTCCTTCTGTGTGACTCCAAGAGTTCTCTCTCTGTCTCTCTGACTCTTTCTCTCTCTCTCCCACTCATGCCCGGGGCTGGCCCCCTTCCCTGGTCGGTGTCATTTGTCAGCTCGAGAAAAGATTTGAGAGGCCACACGAACTTCAGGAGCCTTCCCGTCCTCCGCTCTCCGGTACTTGTTGGCAAGGGTTCCTGCAGACAGCTTTGACCTTGGGGTCTTGGTCCCACCCGTACCCACCCTGCCTCTGCATCCAGTCAAGCCCCAGGAGAGACCTTTCAAGGTGCAGCTGAAGCTTCACCACAGACCTCAACTGTGGCCGCGGTGGCTGAAGACCAGGGGTTGTCCCAGGGTCAACTGGAGTTCCCTCCCTGCAGGGCTGCAGGTGGCCGGGACTCGGATCCTGGCTCCATCTCCACCCTCTGGGCCTCACTCTCCCCGTCTGTAACTGGGGGGCGTGCTGGGGAGGTGACTGCAGGTCCGGCCTGCCCAGAGCGGCGGCTCCCAGAGGAAGGAGCAGCTGAACTGCTACCCCAGCGGAGCGCCAGGGTCAGCCAACATTCTCCCGCTGATGTCAACAAATGATCATCCTCACCTGATGCGTGCGCTGTGCTCCTTCCCTCCCCCACCTCGGGGCAGGCCAACTTCCCACCTCGCTGGGTGAAGTCCCCTCAAGCCTGGTCCCCAGGAAATCTAGGGCCACACACACACGCACAACAGCTAGGGACAGAGAACAGTGCTCCCTCCCCTGAAGCCTCGGGGTGAGGGGGCAGAGGGTAAAGAAAGAGGCCACACAAACAATCTCTGGCTCTCAAAGGCTGAGACCCCGACTCTAGCATCCCCCACATCCTACAACCCCTCCTCGCTCCCCAGAAAATGTGCAGGCAAAGTGTGGGAGCTGGCCGGGTCCCGCAGGAGATGGCTGTATGGCCCGCACGACAGCCCCTGCCCTCTCTGGGCCTCGATGTCCCATCTGTAGAATGGGCACACTGTCTGGGCAGCTCTGAAATGGCTGTAGCCCACCAGTTGCTCTACTTTCCTCCTGGGTCCTCATTTCTTCCAGGACTCGGGAACTCACAGGCCGGTAAGAGCTGGGGGGGGGGGTCAGGCCAACCCCTCTCGTTTTACCTACAGGAAACTGGGATTAGGCAGCCCAGGCCTCACAGCCTGTCAGGGGGGAGCCCTCAACGGGACCCTGAACAGAGAGGCCACTCAGAATACCCCACGGGAGGTGGTTTTCCGGTGATGTGCCCTGGGTGTCATCTCTGGGCCCCGGCTTCCACATCTCTGCGGTGGGGTGAGGGCCACCTCCATGGACTGTTGTCAGGACAAGACATAGCTGTGCCGGGAGCATGGCGATGTCAACAGCGGGTGCCACATGGTGGGCCGGGGCTCCCAGCCTGGAGCGGGGCCTCTCTTCAGAGCCCACACACTCGGGGTTTATTGTTTTAAAACGTGAGGCCCCAGCTGAAGTCAGGATGACGCAATATGTCAATCCCTCCCTGAGACCGAGGCACCCCAAGACCTGAGGTCGAGGGGCCACAGCAGCTGCTCCACCCCCACCCAGAGCCGGTAGCCAGAGGGGGAAGGGCCGCCTGCAAAAATGTGGCTTCAATTAGTGGCCCTTGGGGGAGGGGTCTGGTTGAAGTACTGTACCCCCTACTCCGGGGCAGCTGAGGACAGGGACCTGGGCCCCTCGGAGGGGACACCTGAGGAGGGACGGGGGGTCCTGAGGGCTCAAAATACACACACACACACACACACACACACACAGAGCAGCAGCAGCGTGGACACACAATACATATACAGATGCAGCAGAGGCATGCAACCCCCAGACACCCCAGAGAGCTCCCACGGCCCACCCGCACAGACGCATAGACAACACACACAGACACACAATCGGCTGATTCTCCAACAACATGTGCACGACCGCAACCCCGGGTCACGCCATGGATCCCCCCGAACGGGCCGGTCCCGGTCCACACCACCTTCCCGCTGACCCAGGGACCAACCCCCCTGGCGTCCACTTTGAAAACAACACATCCCCTACGGCAAGGCCACCATGCACACACAGAACTCGGGCACACGGGGGCACGGAAGGCACCCGCGCCGCACCCCTCTCCCTTAGCACACATCACACTCGGACACAGCACGCAGCACACCCTCAAAACGTACACACACTTAGAGATGCCCCCCCAAAGCGCTCCTGCCGGCCCACAGTCCCTAAACTCCAAGACATGCCCAGGCTCCCCAGGCAGAGGAGGGGACCCCAGGACTCACCAGTCCCTCTGCACACAGGCCTGGTGCTCCCGCCAGGTGGAGCGAGAGAGAGTCGTGCCAGTGCCCGGGCGCTGCTCTGGGCTGGCCGCCCCGCCCACCTCCCGCCCCCTCCCTCCCTCCTTGGCTGCGGGGCCAGCTTGATTTCATTAAGGGGTTTGGGGTGGGGACAGGGGGAGGGGTGGGGCTGTGCTGGGCCACACACATCCCCCTCGCTCACACTCCCGAAGGCGCCCCCTCCATGCTCGGGGAAGCCCAGATGGGACACTTCCTCCCTGACCACCGGTCCCCAGGGCAGGCTGGGGCACACAGGCAGACAGACAGACAGACAGGGCTGTTCCACAGCACCCCCACCACAAAACAGCAAGCTGGGGTCCTGTCCTTCTTCCAAAGAAGAGGAGGTCAGGGAGGTTCGGAGGCCCCTGGAAGTGAGGAGGAAAATTCCCCATCCTCGTTCCAGCTGTGACTCAGGTTTTCCAAGGCTCTGGGTGCAGAGTGGGAGCCAGGGTGTGTACAAGGCAGAGCACGATCGCAGCCCTGCTGGAGGGCCCAGGGCTGGGGCAGGGAGAAAGTCCTGTCACCCCCTGTCTGGCCCTGGTCGGGCCCTTGCCTCCTCCGGTCTCGGTCTCCCCATTTGCAGAGGTGGGTCAGATTTCCGGGCTTCCTCTGGCTCTGACATTCTAAGGTCGGTGGCCTCGCACTACCCCAAATGGCGTGGCTGGAGCAGGAGCTGTGGCCCCATTTCACAGCTGGGGAAAGTGAGGCAGGATGCGTCCAAGTGATTCAACTAGTGGCTGAGACGGGCCAGTGGCAGCCCTGGAGCCAGGACCTCGGGCTGACCTGAGGAATCCCGTGGGTCAGTGACCCCTGCTTTCATTCATTCATGAACTCCTTTATTCACTCAGCAGAGATGTTCTAGATGTTCTTAATGAGCTCCTCTAGGGCCCCGGGCGCTGTCCCAAGCAGGTCTCGGAGGTGAACCAGACGCAGCCCTCAGGGAGCTCGAAGGCTTCCAGGGAGGACACGTACACAAATCACTTTTTAAAAAACAAACGCGTCTGTGGCAGGAGAGAGGCCAGGCCAAGGGCTCGGCTGTCCCGGGGCAAAGAGAGGACGACTGTGGACGAGCAGTCTGAGCAAGAGGACAGCCCGAGAGCCTTCCAGGTGGAGGAACAGCATGGACAAGGCAGAGCGGCTGGAGCATGAGTGGGCGAAGGAAGGAGCAGGGAACAAGGGTTGGGGACGTCAGCAGGAGCCGGGCGGAAGTCTCAGAATGTCATTCATCCAGCCTAGGACAGGGTCCCTTCTGGGCTCCTCCTCTGAGAGCAGAGCAGCCCCCCCCCGAGGAGTCTGGGACCCAGAGGCAGGGTTCGGACCCTGCCTCCACCTGTCCTGCCCCGTGCGGAGCCTCAGAGGAGGGAGATGGGGGAGGGGAGCCTGAGCTGCTGGGCGATAAGAAAGCATTGGCCGGAGGCCAAGTGATGGGCTTCCCGTTGCTGTCGTAACAAGTCACCACACACTGGTGGCATCAGACAACGCGCGTTTCTTCTCCTACAGTCCTGGCAGCCAGAGGTCAGCAGTGGGTGTCCCTGGGCTCGCCACGGGGCTGGCAGAGCTGCCTTCCTCCTGGCACCTCCAAGGGGAGAATCTGTTCCTTTGCCTTCGCGGCTTCTAGAAACCACCTGTGTTCCTCGGCTCACAGGCCTCCTCCTCCTCCTCCCCGGCCAGGTGCCGGCGGAGTCGGCACACTGCCCCTCTGGCTCTCTCTCCCGTCTCTCTTCACTTCTGAGGGCCGGTGTGAGGCCATCGGGCCACCCCGCTAGCCCAGGACACTTGTCTCCTCTAGGAACCTCAGTTTAATCACACCGGCAAGTCCCTCTTGCCGTGTAAGGTGACATATTCATATTCGTGGTTTCCGGGGACGAGGGTGTGGACATCTCTGGGGGTGGGGCACCATGCCGTCGCCCACACTGCAGTTGTTCCCTGGGGAGCTGAAATCACCCCCCTCCAAAGCACTGGGGTTCCTCCTCCCACAGAGCCTTCCACCGTGCTCGCTCCATAGTGCTTGGGCAGAGGTGAAGGGATAAGTGAAGCCCACTGGACAGATGCAGAAACTGAGGTTCGCAGCAGCGTGACCTGCCAAGACCTAAAATAGCACGTTGAGGGTCAGAGCCCCTTCTTCTTCACCAGCTCCTGTGTCTTACCTGGAAGTGAAGTTGCACCCGGGGCTCATCCCCTACAGTAGTACCACCTCCATCTGGCCCATTAACGGGCTCTCAGACCATGTCAACATGCACACCCACACACAAAGACACACGGGCTCCCCTTCAGCCAGCCCACAATCCCAACCTGCAATCCGAGGTCAGAACAGCAAAACTGGCAGTCACCGATGGGAGGAAAAGGGATCTGGGGGTTCCAGCCCCAGCTCACACATCAACTGTGGGCGGCTGGACAAATCCCCATCCCTCCCTGGGCGGCAGCTAAATGTGGGGTCAGCCCTGGCCAGTTTGGCTCAGCGGTTAGAGCGTCGGCCTGTGGTCCTGAGAGACCCGGGTTCGGTTCCCGCTAAGGGCACGTACCTTGGTTGCAGTTTGTCCCCGGCCCTGGTTGGTCGTGCGGGTGGCAGCCACTCGATGTGTCCCTTTCACATTGATGTTTCCCTCTCTCTCTCTTCCTCTCTCTCCCTCCCACTCTGTCTGTACAAAAAATGGAAAAATGTCCTCGGATGAGGATTAAAAAAATAAAATAAAATAAAATAAAATAAAAAAATAAATGTGGGGTCAGACTAGATGTCAGCTACCCGCCTGCCCACACTTTGCCTCCAACACTCTGACATTCAGTGTCAGGCCCTGGGGGACAGTGACGAGCAAACAAAGGCACAGAGTTTACAGAGTAGAGGGGAGATCTACGATATTAAGAAAACAAACAAGTGACTATCTAACTGCAATCTGGGCTAAGAGTTGGGATGAGACAGTTCAGGGGCTGTGGGAGCCTAGTCTGGTCCTGACGGTCATGGAGACCTCCGTCAAAAGGCGATGGCAGAGTTGCTTGTGAAGATGAGGAGGAGGTATTCAGGAAGACAGGGATGCAAGAGGATTCCCAGCAGTGAGAACAGCACGTGCAAAGGCCCTGAGGTAGTTGGGACCCCAGCAGATTCAGAGCAGTTCCTGAAGATTATTTTCAAGTGAGAGGAAATGAAGCAGCTCTGCAGGGACCAGAAACTTTGTCTGCTTTGTCCACTGCCTTCACTCCAGCAACTAAGACAGCGCCTGCAACGCAACTGACGCTCAATAAATGCTGTGTGAATGACCAGTCTGATCTCCGCTCTTGCATTCCCACGTTTTGACAAACTACTGCTCTGAGATTTTGCCCCAGCCACTCCTTGTCCTCCCTGAGGGTCTCCCATTCCCTAGTTCCAGGACCTGTTTTGGGTCCCGGGCCAGATGACCCCCACGGCCCACACTACCATGGTTCCAAGAGGGCACAGGCAGGCCTGCAGCATGCAGCAGGCCGGGCCACTCGCTTGCAACCTGTAATTTCAGAGGCAGAGAGCAACGGGCCCTCTGCCCAGCCTTGAAGCCATTCAGAGACCTCACCCTGTGCCTACCATGCAATTAGCAGCCATGACCCCCGCCCTGCTGAACAGCCACAGTGGAGGAGACAGGGAGGACCAGGACGAAACCCACCCTCCTCAGGCCTCTGCCAGGGTCCTCCCTAGTTAAGCCTGGGATGGGCCAACTGGTCTACCACAGCCCCCAGCTCCAGCTTCTCGTGGGCTCAGAATCCCTTCTAATTATGCAGCTCCCGGGGCCACTGGGCCTGCGCTCTGGGAAAAAATAGCCCAAGCTTTTCATGTGGCCAGAGGGGCCAGGGCTGCGACCCACAGGCCTGGCCTTCAGAGGGACACCCATGCAGCGGTCTCCTGTTGCGTGCTCCAACGAGGCAGAGTGGGCTTCGTCCAAGCAGGCCAGAGCTCTAAGTGTGCTGTGAGACCTCTGTGGCCCTCAGTTTCCCCATCTGTCAACTCGAGAGGCTCTGTTATTTCTCAGCGACCCCCAGCTGCCGGGCACAGAGAGCTGTAAGCGAGACAGATGCGGCCACACCTTCGCTCCGGCCGCTCCCTCTGCCTGAAGCATCACCTCCGCGCTCCCCCTTGCCTGCCCACCCCCCCCTGCACATTCCATTTCAATCATCACCACCTCCAGAAAGCCCTCCCTGAACCCCAGCCTCTGGGGAGGGAGATCAGTCGCTTCCTCTGTGTTCCTGCACCCCAGGCTCCCCACTCAGAGAACTGAGCAGCCAGGGCCATAATGTCCTATTTACGTGTCTCTACACTATCCACTTCCGAGGTCTACGATCAGGGCCTTTTCTGTCAATGTATCGCTAGCGCCAGTGCCAGCAACATAGTAGGTGCTCAATAAATCTCCTTCACCGGCTGAACAACTCTACCCAACCTGCCCATGGTACTGATGGGGAAACAGAGGCACAGGGAGGGGATACACTGACACTATTTTGCTTTGCACCAGCTCCTGTACGGGAACAAGACAGACCCAGCCTCTGCCTCAGGGACCTCCTTGCAGGAGAGACAGATGAGAAACAAACAAGTCAACTGACAAACGGGGAAGATAACCCAACACTGCAAAATGCTACCAAAAAGATAAAAAGGATGAGGAGACAGGGAGCAGCTTGAAAGGGGCAGGAGCAGGTGCTTGGGCAGCTATTTGGCAATCATGGTCAGGGACATCCTCTCTGAAGAGGTGTCTAACTAACCTGCAGGGCAAGAGGAATCTCTCAAGGAGCAGAAGGAAGAGCTTTCTGGGTCAAGAAAACAGCAAGTGCAAAGGCCCTGAGGTGGGGAAGGGCTTGGCATTAGGTCTCCTCCAAGGAAATGAGACTGGGTGCTGCTGCATTCTCACCAGGGAGCAGTAAGAGCTTGGAAATTGGGAGTATTAACTCCTGGTTCTGCCCCTCGTGAGCTGTGTGACCTGAACCTCAATTTCCCTTCCTGCACCAGGAAGGGTCAGCAGAGGCTCCTCCTCTAAGCTCTGTCATTCTGTGATTCTAAGTAAATTTTCCACTGGTTTGCCCACCCCCAGCAAACAACCAGATGCTTCCCGCTACTGATGGGAGAGAAAACAGCCAGCCACTTTGGAGAACCATCTTTATAAAATTAGCCAGACACTTCCCGGGTGACCCAGCAATCTCGCTCCTGGGTCTTTTCACCCGAGAGAAATGCAGACGCACATCCACACAAAAACAAAGATGTCCATAGTGGTGTTATCCATACAGCAAAAAAAGGGGGAAAAGGCTGGAAACAACACAAACGTCCACCCACAGAGGACTGGATGAGCAGACTGTGGTACATCCGGTCAGTGGGACACTCCTCAGCAGAGAAAGGAAGAGACGCCAGACCTGTGACAATGTGGGTGAATCCCATGGGAACACGGAGCCAAAGAACCAGACCCAAAGAAATACTCCCTGGGTGACTCCATCCACATGGTTCTAGAACAGAAGCAAAACTAAGCTATCGGGACAGAAGTCCCAAAAGCAGTCACCTTGGTGGGTATTGATTGGAAAGAGGTGAGAGGGACGGTCTGGGGCTGAGGATGCACAATATCTAGATGGGATGGGGGGGGGGGGGGACGTGGGCTCATAGGGGAAAAGCCAGCTGCACACTTCAGATGTGTGTGTAGGTTGTGACTTGATTAAAAGTTTTCTTTAAAAAATAAAGAACCCTGCGTCCCTCTCTCTTAGGGGGGAGGAGGGGCCAGAGCTGGTAGAGTCTCGGCTTCCTGTGGCGGCGGTGGCCGGCCAGCTGCGCACCGCGTTGTAAACATTTACATTCCCCAGGCCCGGTTAGAGGAGCGGCCGTGGGAGGGCGGAATGTAAACACGGCCACGCTGCAGACCTGGCCTCGGCCTCCTGCTCTGCCCACTGCCCACCCCTCCAGCGCCACCCGCCCCCGTCACGAGCAGGAACGGAGATGAGGCTTCTGAACTTCCTCTGCGGCTCTGTTGGCAGGGGCCTCTCTCCATCTTTGGGAAGGGGGCTGGTCCGGAGAAGTGAGGAGGGCTTGGAGCTGAGCTTCAGGGCCCCAAGTCCTGCAAACACTCGGTGCCCGGCTCACATTTCTCCTGCTCTCCGCCCCTCTACACTAAGGCCTTCCGTCCCATCTTTCTCCTCCCTCTCTCCCCCTCTCCTCCCGCCTCCCTCATTCCTTTCTTCTATTCTTCCCTTTCCTCCCTTCCCGTTCTTCCATTTTTTCTCTCTCTATCTCTCTGCGGCTTCTTTTTATCTTTTTCTGTTTATCTTCAGATAGAGAAGAAGGAGAGAGGGAGGAAGAGAGAGACAGAGAGAAACATAGATGTGAGAGAGACACATCGACTGGTTGCCTCCTGCATGACCCCAACTGGGGCTGAAGACGAACTGCAACTAAGGTACGTGCCCGTGGCCGGAATGGAACCTGGGACTCTTTGGTCCACGGGCCGACACTCTAACCACTGAGCCAAACCGTCCAGGGCTCTCAGCAGGTTCTTATTGAGCACATACCATGTGCCAGACCCTTTCCAAGCACTGGGGATCCAGCAGAGAACAACACAGATAGAAGAAGAAGTCCCTGTCCTTATGGGGCTTACCTCTAGCGGGACAGGTAGACCATTAAAAAAATAGCAACGTGCCCTGGCCAGTTTGGCTCAGCAGTTAGAGCATCAGCCTGCGGTCCGGAGGGGCCCGGGTTCGGTTCCCGCTAAGGGCACGTACTTCGGTTGCAGTTTGTCCCCGGCCCTGGTTGGTCGTGCGGGTGGCAGCCACTCGATGTGTCCCTTCACGTCGATGTTTCTCACTCTCTCTCCCTTCCTCTCTCTCCCTCCCACTCTATCTGTACAAAAAATGGAAAAATATCCTCGGGTGAGGATAAAAAAAAAATAGCAACGCATACAAGGTGTGGCGGTCGTGGCAAGGGGTACGGAGGAAAACAAAGCAGGGAGCGGGGGACATCGAAGGGCATGAGACGTAAATCCGCGAGATGACCGGAGGAAGAGCATTCCGGGCACAGAGAAGAGCCTGTGCAAAGGTCCTGAGGTGGGCGAGCCCGGAATTCTCCAGGAGTGGAGAAGGACAGTGTCTGGTGTGGCCGGGAGAGAGTGCGTGAGGGGCTGGCAGGAGAAGTGAGGTTAGCGGGCACCGGGGCCTGAGGCGAGGCCCCTGCGGGCGTTTGCAGGGCTTTGGCTGCTACTAGGAGTGAAGAAGGCCAGTCGTGGTTCCCTGCGTTTGCAAAACCCTTCCCGGCTTCTCTCCCTGCATGGAGCCCTCGTCTTCTTTATGCCCCCCCCCCACCCTTTCTCTCGAGGATGCTGACCAAGGGAGGTCGCTAGGTCCCATCTCTGGAGAGAGGAAGGGGCTCCACATAAGCCCCCACGAAAGCCATAAAGCTCCCCAGCCCAGACCACCATCTGCTGACTCAGTAAGGACCAGCACCTTGGCTCCCGGGGGCTCCTGGCAGCTGCCCCGAGTCAGCCTTGTGCACCTGGGCCAGGGCCCCGCTCACAGGGAGGGTGTCCATGGCATCCAGTCCACCCACCACGAGGGACAGGGCCGCGTGGGGTGACGGCCAAAAAGTAAAGCCCACCCAGGAGAAGCCAAGATCATCTGCCCTTGGGGGAACCCTGGGTGACCTTGGGCTAAGTGACTCAACCACTCAGGGCCTCAGTTTCCGCATCAGTAGAATGGGAGGTAATAACACCCTGAACCCTGGGTGTTACTGTGAGAAGAAAATGAGCCTTGGCACCAGGCACTAAATAGCAACAACAGCAACTCAAGTGACATCTGGGACTGAGACTCTGTCACACCATCGGGACAAGAATACAAAGGCCGCCCTGGTCGGTCTGGCTGAGCGGTTAGAGCGTCAGACTGAGGTCCAGAGAGACCCGGGTTCGGTTCCCGCTAAGGGCGCGTACCTCGGTTGCAGTTTGTCCCCGGCCCTGGTTGGTCGTGCAAGTGTGGCAGCCACTTGATGTGTCCTTCTCACGTCGATGTTTCTCTCTCTCTCTCTCCCTCCCACTCTACCTGAACAAAAAATGGAAAAATGGCCTCGGATGAGGATTAAAAAAAAAGAACACAAAGGCTGGCATACAGCAGGCGCTCCATAAGGTTACCGGATCGAAAGGGGTAGTAGAGCAATTAGCTACCCCAGCCCTCGTGCACCAGCCGGTTGGCCAGTAGGGGGCGCCCTGTCCTAGGAGGAGTGCACATGCAGGCCTGGGGCTTGTCTCCACCACCCTCTCCACCACCCACCCGCACCCGCCACGCAGCCAGGGACCCTGCGTGTACGCAGTGGGTCGATCTCCCCTGGCTAAGTCCCGCCTCCGGAGCCAGGACACGCGCACGCACCAGGGCGCTGGCCAGGGGCGATGGGCCCCAACAGCTGGAAACATCTGGTTTGAATTGTCGGTTGGAAGCACCAGCCAGGCAGCCAAGGAATTTGTGAGCTAATTTTAGGCCAAAAGACAGAGAGCTCAGCAGGGCTGGGGCTGGCTCCCCAAACCACAGGGGTGGGGCTTCGAGGCTTGGGGGAGCTTGGCGGCCTCCATGGTTCCCCTCACATGGTCGGCGCCTGCCCCCGTAGCCAGGGACTGTCTCCCAGGATGGGGCTAACTGGGCACCTCACTGTGCCGGCCACACCCCCCTCATTGCACCCGCCGTCCCAGGAAGAGAAGGCTGCGTCTCCCCATTTCACGGGTGTGGAAGCTGAGGCTCCCAGAGGTTAGAGAGGCGTCAGTGCCCTGCAACTAGTAAGTGGAGTGGGGGTTTGACCCAGGTCTGCCGGACTCCAAGCCATAAAACTAAGGTGCTCATGAGCTCCCCGCGGGCACTTACATATTCTCAGTCCCGTTGCCTCGCCTCCGTCCTCACGCCCTTGCAAAGTCTCCCTAGCACATGTGTTCATTCAGTACATGTCTCCTGAACTCTCACTGTGTGCCAGGCACTGTGCAGTGACCACAAAGGAGTGAACGCGGGGGACAGAGGCCCCCAACCTCGCCTAGCAAAAATCAATATATCAACGCCATCACTCCAGGTAGTCATCGGTGCCTTGAAAGGGGACTGTTGTAAAGGACAACTGTCTCTGAGGAGGTGCCATTCCAGCTGAGACCTCAAGGAAGAGAAGCTGCCAGCCAGGCAGACATCTGGGAAGAGAGTACCAGGCAGAAGGAACAGCAAGTGCAAAGGTCCTGCGGCAGGAGCATGTGAAGGAGAGAGAGCAAGAAGATGCATGGGGCCAGAGCAGAGAGAGAGGGGACAGGAGCTTTCCTTCACTCATCCAGCCAACACATTTGTCAGTAGGTGAGATGGGGGTCTGAGCGGGGCGGGAGTTGGGGTCCAGAAGCTCTCGCTGCAGGGATCAGGGGACCGCATTGCCCTATAATATTCCTTTGCTGAGGTGCTTCTGAAACTCATGGGGAAAATCATGTGAAGCCTGACCCTCTCAGGAGCCCAAAGACCAGACGTGAGTCAGGACAACAGAGAGCCCTAAGAGAACTCCCAGGGAGCAGGGGCGGCCCGAACCAGCGCTGAGGCTGGAGGGTGTGTGTTTCACCAGCACGTGGCTCCCCTGCAGGGTCCCTGTCCCTGGGAAAGAGGACCATGTCTGTGCCGCATCAGAACTCCCCTTCCCTGCCCTGGGGACACTCTCCTCTCCTTTCTGGGGAGAAGCTGCACCAAGGCTGTCCCGCTAGGAGGCTCAGCGGCAGCACCCTCGTTTGGCTGACCTTGACCTTGAGGGTGCCAGGTCTGTGGGGCCCCGGGTGGCAAGAGCTGGAGCAGCTATGGTTACAGCCTTCCGCCCACCGAAAGGACACTCCACAACCAAGTTCATGGCCACACAGAAGCCCCTGTGGGTTTCCGAAGCCTTTGCGAAGGGGACCTGTGCGGGGCTCTCTCCACCTGGGCACTACCGCGGTCTGGGACCGGACACCGCCTGGACGTGGGGGCTGTCCTGTGCACGCTGGGGTGTCTAGCAGCACCCCCACCTCCTACTAGATGCCTATAACACTCCCTCAAGTAGGCACAACCAGAAGTTTCTCCACACATTGCCAAGTGTCCCCTGGGGGGCAAAATGGCCCCCAGGTGAGGACCATGGGCTCGGAGCCCTCCTGTGCGGACATTAATAGCTATAGGAAGATGGTTCTACTCACCAGCTCGGGAGGCCTGGGGCCACCCGATTTCCTAACACTTATCGTTTATTTCTGTTCACTGAGAAAAACTAGGAAAAGACAGAAAAGTCGAAAGAAGCGATCCTACACTCGACGGCCGACCTCTCGCCAAGTTGGTGGCCGTAGTGCCAGTGTCCTTCCTACAGTTGATCACCCTAATACTGCGGCCACGATTTGCTGAGCACGTAACCCTGTGCCAGGCATTGGGCCGGGGGCTTCCTAGGCCTGTGTCACTGATCCTCCCAACAGCCCTATGAAGTGACACTGTTATGGCCCCATTCCACAGAGGAGGAACCGAGGCTGGCTTCACTTGACGTTACATCGTGGCATTTTCCCACATTATCCTTCAAAAACATCATTTTCAATCGCTGGATGACAATCTGTGTGAGGCCAGTGGACTGTGCTCCTACAAGCCCACGTCTCGGGGCCCTGCCCATGTCTACCCGCCAACGCTGGGGCACCGTGGCCGTGCACACGTGTCCTCAAGGGCCACGCTGTCTGCACCCTGGATTCACACGATGCCTCACACAGAGCTCTGGGTCCTTCCCAGTTATCTCTACACTCCGCACTTGCCTTGCACCCCAACTCGGGCCCAGGCCCCCCTCACCCTCACAGCCACACCCTCCTCCCTGCAGCCCCCCAGGCCTGGTCTGCTCCCCAGTGCTCCTCCGTTCTCCACGCCGGGAACATCCTTCTCTGAAGCCTCCCTCCCCAGTCAGCAAGTCTGCGTCCTCCAAGTCTCCAAGGTCTGGCGCAGGGCACGCGCTCAGGGCCCCGCACTCTCCTCTGGGCTCTGGCCCTGCCGCAATCCATGTGATCGGGTCCATTCCTCTCCCTCTCCCTCGAGCCCCACGAGCCCCAAGGGCATCACCAGTCCTGTACCGCTCACCTGGCATCCCAGGACCTGGCACAGGGCCTGGCACAGAGCAGACAGGCCGTGAAAGTCGAGTTATAGGGCTTGGCTGAGCGCCAGTGGGGTGGGATATGGAGGGTGAGTTTGGGGAACCTCTGCCCAGATCAGTTGCTGAATGAACCACCCGCAGGTCCGACAGCCCAAGCTCCTGAGACAAAAGGGACCTGGAGTAAACTTAGCCACCCCCACCCCCCGTTTCCTGTCTACCCGCCTTCCTTTCCTGACATCGGAGCTGAAGTCAGCAGTCTCGTTTCTTAGTTGTGAATCCTGACGGAGTCAGTAAGTAGTTCAACTTTCTGAACTTGTTTCCCCGCAGTAAAACGGGGTCATTGCTGTGCCACGCCACAGGGCTATTGCGAGGCCTACATAAGATCATACAGATAAACTGTTCGGCATGAGGCCGGGCATGCAGTCACTGCCCGATAAGTGCCACTCCTGTCCCCAGCCATCTCTCTGTCCTAGGCCCCAGCTCTGCTGTGTCCTGCTCCTTGCAAGGCGGGGGGCTGGCTTCAACTTTATCACCCTTCCAAGTGCCAGTCTCTTCGCTCAGCAGTCAGGACCTGCAAGGGGGAGCTGACAGGGACTTCCAGGCACCAGCGTGATCAGCAGCGGGGGAGAGTTGGGGACATGGGATTTCCCTAGAACCCCACTGTGATCTCAAGGATGGTGTGGCATAGTGGTGAGAACATGGCTTTCTTTTCCTCTTTTTTTTTTGAACATGGCTTGCTGATTCAGGCCTGGGTTCCAATCCCAGATCTTTATGCATGACCTGGGTCAGGTGACTTCTCTCTGAGCCTCAGTTTTCTCTTCTGTAAAATGGGGAGGATGCTAGTTCCTCCTTCCCAGGCTGTTTGAGGGGACTCGAGGAGATGTTGCAGATATTCACGCTCAGGCTATATTTGCTAAATGGATTAATTGGGCAATTGAGCTCTGGTGTTCAAGGGCAATGGGAGGTCAGAGCAGGAGGAAGGGCACAGTGTTATGCAGGTGCCGGCCTGTCTCTGAGAGCCAATTATCCGATTTTCAGAAGTTTGCGAGATAGTTGTTTCATAAGTTAAATTATATACCATTAAAAACTAAGGTCCTCGATACTCAAAACTCATCCCTTCCTAATTATCTTACTATATTCTACTATTATCTATGCCCTTGAGATGATTGGCATGTATTGTATCATCTATATGAATGGTTGGTTGCTCAAAATCAGCCATGGAAGTATTTACGTCAATGAAATTGGCAATCACTACAAATCATGGCATGGGTACCAATTCACCCACAGAGCCAGTCATTAAACAGTTACAAGCACACAGCTGGGTTTGGAGCCTGGTTCTGGCTACCAGTCCCTCCTTCATCCTCAAACACTGGACGGGAGGGTGCTGGGCTGCAAATGGCTCTAAGAGCTGGTACCGGGCGCCCCCTGGTGGCTGCTCTAAACACTCATCATCACTGACTGACAAATCCTGCCCCTTGGAAGAACAGAAAACCAGGCAGTCCAGGACCCCTAGGAGAAAGGGACACCCGCTCCCTGCCCAGAAAGACGAGGTAACAAGACCCTGGGAAAAATTCTCAGATGTCCCCAAGTCTTTTAGATTCTCAGTCCCCAATCCCAGCTGATTTTTCTCATCCCTTCCTAAGGGGAAATGAGTGAGATGTTCCTCCTAACGCATCAACCCTCCTTCTCCAGGGCTGATGGCCCCAGGCACAATGGCCACCCCTCTTCCACCAAAGCGCCCTGAACACACCTTGTGTATCATACTTGTTCCAGAGGCTCAGGGGAGGGGCAAGCAGTCTCCACTTCTCCCAGACTCTGTTGCCTGCCACGTTCCCTCCCTCCCTTCCCCAATCTCTCCTCGTCCCCACAAGCCCTCTCTCCTGGGGTGCAGCCAGTGTCTCCAGACCCCTGCCGAAATCTCCCCTTGCAGGTTATGTCCTGGAGTGGATGGCCCTTCACTTCTAAACAGGCCACCGGAGGTGTTTTTCTAGAAGAGAAAAGGTCTCCCCCAAAGTGGATTTTATTCCCCTTCTAGAAGGTGCACCAGTGCCCTTCCCTGCAGGAGGAGGAGTGAGAGGCGCCGGGAGGCAGATAGAGCCACTTCACCTCCGCAAGCCTTGACTCTGATCCGACCCTCGGGGTCAAGGTGGGTTTCAAAAGTGGTCGTACATGCACGCGGTTAAGCGGCTCTTCAATAGGGCCGCCAGCGGTCCTGACTTGGGACTTCCAGGGCTAAAATCAGGACAGTCTCAGGCAAACTGAGACTTCTGGTCACCCTATGCTTAAATCAGGGGTCAGCCAAATCCAGCCTGCCACCTGTTTATAAAGTTTTATTAGCACTCAGTCAAACCCTTTTATTCATGACATGCTATTGTTTGCCGCATTCGATTACAGAGCTGAGACGTTGCAACAGGGACCTGGTGGCCGGCCAAACCCCAAATATTTACTGCCTGGTCCTTGAAGAAAAAGTCTGCTGGCCCTGAACTTCAGATGACAGTCAGTACTCTGTGAGCTGTACAAAAGCCAAAGGTGTCCGTGCGAGGGAGGGTGGGTCTGGGTGTTACTGAGAGACAGGCCCCACGCGGAACGGAGGGGTCACAGTGGGCTTCTGGGGAGGCCGGCGTTGATGTTTAGACTTGTCTGAGATTTGGTAGAACCCGATTCCGTAGGCCAGAGCTGGGTCATGGAGGAAGTTGAATCAAGTGGTCCCTCCCTCTAACCCCAAATGGCCTGAAATCTTCCGCAGCCTCTCAGGAATATACCAGGATGCCCCCCACCCCACTCCCTGCCCAAGACACACTACTGAAGTCAACCCGATGGCCCATGCAAGGGGCTTCCTGAGGGGACGGGACTGCAAAGGACCAACACCCTGCCTGAAGGAGGCCCCCCAGTACCTCGAAGCATTCAGCTGGTACGTGTTCATCAGATATTTACTGAGTGCCGCCCTGTGGGCCCGCGCTGGGCAGAGGGATGCTTCAGGGAGAAACACAGCGCCCCCTACCTTGGACACAGGGGAGGCATGAGAGGGCAGGATGGGGTTCCTCTGTCACCAGAAGGAAGCTCAGAGATGCGCATAGTTTCAAAGAAGCCTCCCCAGCCCTCAAAGACAACACCTCCCCCTGGGCTCCCTGGAGGAGGAGCTGAGAAAATCCAGTCGCCGCTGTGGGGTAGCACCAGGAACCGGCCGCAGGAGACTAACACTCCTCAGTATCCACCCCCAAAACACATCATGACCATGGCAAGCACGAGACAGGAGCAGGGGGTGAAGGCAGGGACCGAGTCTTCCCTGGGTTCGTGGGAATGAGGCTCCAGAGGCCGGGAGAAAGGAGAGATCTGGGCTGCCTCAGTCCTGTGGCAGTGGCCAGGGGCCCGAATGATCCCTGTTCCCCAGGGGCCTCGGTGCAGCCCGGACACGTGCACGGGGCCTGAGCGCTCAGTGGTGGTTAGGACCGCGGAGAGCGAGGAGACCTGCTCGGGGACTTGGGCCGGCAGAGCTACGGCAGAAAGCTGTGCAGGGTGAGGTCGTCCCCGTCTCGGTCCTTCTGGGGCCCTGCCTTTAGGCCTGGGCTCTTGGTGGTGGGCAGGCTCCCGTTGGCAGTGACCACGGGCCCCTCCTCCCGCTCGGGCAGCAGGGCTGAGATGCAGACCATCTCGGTGGGCGAGTAACTGCGCACGGGGTACGTGTGGTTCTTGCGGGACAGGCGGACGGCCAGCACCACGGTGCACACCAGGAAGGTGGTGGCCACCAGCGCCAGGACGAAGATGGCCAGCAGGCAGCGCTTCACCGGGATGTAGTCCAGGCCCTCTGTGGGGCGGGGGGACACAGAGCTCCGAGGGAGCAGACCCTGCCGGCTTTCCCCTTCTTTGACCAAGGTATCAGGCGGCTTGCTGCTGGCCACAGTGGTGCCCCTGTAGAGATCAGCGGGCACAAGGGCTGTGGTTAGACCCCTTGTGGTAGCAGGCTGTGTGGATATGGCCTCCATGGTGGTTGGATCCTTGGACGGGGTCTCTGTGGTGGTGGGCTCTGTGGATAGGGCCTCTATGTCTGCCGGCCCCGTGGACAGGGCCTCCATGCTGGTGGATTTCATAGACAGCACCTCCGTGGCTGTAGGTTCTGTGGTCAGTGCTTCTGTGGCTGCTGGTTCTGTGGACAGGGCCTCCATGCTGGTGGATTTCATAGACAGCACCTCCGTGGCTGTAGGTTGTGTGGTCAGTGCTTTTGTGGCTGCTGGTTTTGTGGACAGGGCCTCTGTGGCTGCAGGCTGCGTGGTCAATGTCTCTGTGACCTCTGACCCCACGAACAGGGCCTTCATGGTGGCCAGCTCTGTGGATGGAGCCCCCTCTGTGGATGGAGCCTCTGTGTTGGGAGGGATTGCAGTGACCAGGTCTTTGGTCAGAGGACCTGGTGTCACGGGAATCCCCTGCGTGGCCAGTTCTGTGCTAAGATCCTCAGTGGCTGCACCTCCTGTGGCAGAGTCTCCTGTGGTCACCTTCATAGTGGCAGGCTCCGGAGTACCAGGCCCTGCAGAATCTCTCTGCCCTGAGGTTCCCGCCACAGTCTGAAGCTTAGGACTCAGGGTCTCAGCCCCTGGGCTGTATCCCAGAACTTCTGGAGGGTCTGTGCCGTAATCCTCATAGTCATCCTTGTCCTCACCCACCTGTCTCCGGCCCCGGGCAAGCAGGTGGCCCGGGGCCTCCTTGGCCTCATCCTCCCGGACCTCCCACAGCTGGAGGCTGCGGCCAGGGTACAGCAGGACCAGCAGCAGGAGGAGTTGCAGAGGCATGGCACCTGGAGGGAGACACGGACAGAGGGACATCAGGACAGCTCTACCCTGGACTTGCTGAGCACCCTCGACTGCGATTCTGGGCGGCCGCAGCTGGTGTGTCGGTCTGGGACACACACCTGGCCTCAGGCATCCTCACTTCCAAGCTCAGTGGTTGAGCAACGACCCATCGAGAGGTCGCCGGTTCGATTCCCAGTCAGGGCACATGCCCAGGTGGTGGGCCTGATCCCCAGTGGGGGGCGTGCAGGAGGCGGCCAATCGATGTTCTCTCTCATCGATGTTTCTCTCTCTCTCTCCCTCCCTTCCTTTCTCTCTAAAAATCAATAAAGGAAAGGAAGAAAAGAAAAAGGAAATATCAGCGCTGCCCTGTAGCTCCGTTGGTTAGAGCGTGGTCCTCACACACCAAGGCTGAGTGTTCGATCCCCAGTCAGGGCACAGTCAAGCATCAACCAGCAAGTGCATAAGTGGAACAACAATCCGATCTCCCTCTCCATTCCTCTCTCTCGGATCAATACAAATAGTACACTTTTTTAAAGAAAATATTAAAATCAATCAAAAAGGAAGGAAATAACATATTAGAGCTTCTAGTTATATTAACTTTACATTTATAAGATAACCTGTTTACAATTCATAGAGGCATGTACTCATCCACCGATGGGGCCATGAGCAGAGTTCAGAGACCTCAGGTCCACGGGATAAAGCTGCTTGTCTGGACCCTGAGGCCCCTTGAGGTCTGATCCTGACCCCTCCATCCCACTCTCCCCAGTCTGGGTTTGCACCCCACACAGCCCCGGCCTGTCCCTCAGAAGCTCAGCTTTTTTTTTTTCCTTTCTCGGTGCCTCCGCTGGCCTGTGTCCCTTTGGCTGGTCCTCGCCCACACCATGGACATAACAGCACCTACGTCAGAGGCGCCTGTGAGGGTGAAATGGACCGATACCCCTTGCTCTTCGCTCCCGCAAAGGGCGGCACTTAGATGCTTTCGGTCAACCTAGCGCAGAAGTCCCCAGGGCCCAGGGTCACGCCATCTGGGGCCGGGAGAAACACCTTCTCAGAAGAGCCCTGCCCTTGGGGAGCTGGCTCACTGCCTGTGGGCAGGGTCACTGTCCGTGCTGGTATTGCCGTCAGCCTCCCGACCAGGTGGCCAGAAAGGGCAGCGCCTGTCCTCCAGGCCAGCTCACTGGTCTTTCTTCTTGGCATCAGGAACGCGTCCTCTCTCCTTCCGCTCCCCCTGGCCCTGGCTGGTGCTTGTGCCCCTCAAAGGCTTGCATTGGGAAATCCCATGAGGAGTGACAGCTGTGTCCGAGGGCAGGCCTCAGGTGTTTCTGGGTCCCTGCGCTCAGTACCCTCCACAGCATGCCACCCGGCCACAGTGCCCGGGGCAGAGTGAGCCGGGGTCATTTCCGGGACCGTCCCTCGCGCTTGGCATGACGTGGAGCACAGAGCAGTTGCTTACCCCTCCTTGAGCGGCTGGAAGTACTCGCAGGCCCCTCAGCCTCCACCTGACCTCCTTCACCTGTTGGGGAGAATCATGTTGGTTTCTTAAGATAATTCCTTAAACCTGACTTGATGATATTTGCGTCAGACCCATCTGGCCTCACAATTATCCTCATCTGACTGAGGAGAGATGAGGCTCAGAGAGGTGAAGCCATTTCCCCAAAGACACACAGCAGGCAAGTGGCGGAGATCAGATTTGAACCCAGTGAGGATTCGGGAAGGTTTTGTGGAGAGACCTAACCTAGCTGTGGGGACAGAAGGCGCAAAGGCTTGGAAGAGAGCTTAGCTTGATGTGTTTGTGGCTAGGGCTGGGGAGCAAGTTGGGAGAGGGAGGGCAGGGTAAGAATAAGGAGGACCTTAAAGGCCACATCACCTCGAAAGGTCAGCCCCATACGTACTGGCTGCCATGCTGACCATAGAATTGGGAGCACAGGTTATGGGGTCAGACAAAAAGATGTTTGAGTCCTGGCTCTCTTACAAGCCGTATGACCGAGACATAGATCTTTGCCTTTCTGAGCCTCAGTTTTCTCATCTGTAAAATGGGAATAACAAACAGTACCTATCTCACAGGGTTGAGAGAATGCAGTGAGCTGATGGACTCAGAAGTTCCAGGCTCATAGGAGGTGCTTAATAAACGTCACACACACACACGCACACACACAGCTCCCTGAAAAGATTTCTCTCCTGGCCCAGATTGATGGCTCCGGGCCCTGGAGGACTTCCGGGATGGGTTTACTGAAAGCATCTCAGCAGCCACCCTAACCTGCCCTCTGGAGGCAGAGTTTCTTTGCACACGGGTGGAGTTCCCAGCTGGGGGAGTAGTGCATGACCTAACCTTCACCCTACTCTCCCGGGGGCAGAGGCATTTGGAAAGAAACCACCAGCTCAGGGCCATATTTCATAATTATGCAAAGACTCACCACCACCTCCTCGGGCAGCTCTCAGTTCCTGGAAGGCTGCGCGCTCAGCCACTTCCCGTAGAGAGGGGAGGGCAGAACCCGAGGCCCAGCCCACCAGTTCCCGGGTGGGGAGAGGCATCTGGGGCGGTCAGGGCCCCCCTTTCTGCAGCCTGGGGGCTGGGAGGATATCACGGAGGGTGCCGAGGTCCTGTTCCCAAGGTGGGCCCTCACCCCTGCACCCATTCCCACAGTCCCCTGCATGCAGAGGAGTGGAGGGGAGACCACTTGGCAGCTGTGTGACCTTGAGGGGGTCACTTCACCCTCTCTGAGCCTCAGTTTCCTCATCTGTAAAATAGGTACTATTGCTCCAAAGAATGAATGCTCACGAGACTGCAATGAGATGCTGCAGGGCAGGTCCTCCCTGCTGGATGCCAGCACTGTATTTGGGGGGCCCTCTTTGGGGCTGTGGACAGGGAGGGTACAGAGATGGCAAACTCCCTACCTCCCCCTGTGCAGTTAGGGAAACTGCAGGGTCCTCTGTGAGAGCTGAGACCCCCCGTCTGTTGAGATACAAGACTAGCACACTGGGAAGCCCACAGCTCCCCGCCTGGCCTGGCCAGGGCTGCCAGCTTGCCCTGGGTGTCCAGCATTAGCGCTAGAAGTCCCTGGTGCCATGGCCCTCCGTCCCAGCTACACCCAGCCTGATGCTTGTCATTCCACGGACACAGCAGCCTCGCTCCGGGCCGAGGCAGGGCAGGCACCAGCCCGTTTAATGGGAGGAAGCCCAGCTCCTCGGGTCCTGTGGCTCCGTGGGGCCACGCACGTAGCAAGGAGAGGAGCAGAGTGTGAGCTCTGAGTGCCAAGGGCAGGACAGTGACGCTAACATCTGCTAAAATAGACGTGTTGTACTCTAACGAAGATGTACTATAAAGCCCTGGCTGTGGATGGGTCAGCTCATCACCCCCTCCTTGGAGGGACCTCATTTATCATCGCTCCACACTGGCTGAGACGATGTCCATTATGCAGATTAGAAAAACAAGGCTCAGAGAGGGGACATCACTTCCTCCAGGCCCCACCTATCACCGCATCTCTCTGATACAGGAAAACAGCCACTTATCACAAGAGGGGGGCTGGGCAGGGCTTGGGGAGAGGGGCGAAGGGCTGTCACATCCTATCTGTCTTCCGCTTACCTAGACACTGCCCGTTTCCTGCCTTTCAAGCTAAAATCAAGTTGCTTCTGCCCCCAAGCCCCACCTGGGCTGGGGGATGGGGGATGGGTCTGCTTCAGGGCCCACACCCCAGCTCCAGAACCACACTGTGCAGCCACCCTGGGGCTGCAAGAACCTTGGGACCTCCCACCCAGAATCTTGGACCCCGGGAGTCTCAGTGTTCAAGTTCTTGGAATCTTAGGATCCGGAAGACCGAGCATCTCAGGGTGCGGACTGAGCAGCCACAAGAGAAAGGAGGACTCCGAATCCATAAGTAGGTCAAACTGAGGCCCAGGTGACCCCACCGCCCTCCCCACACACACCCAATCCCAGTGCACATCTCATTTCCAGTAGACAGGACTGGGATCGAATCCAGTATCAACCCAGATCCAGACCCAGCTCTGTTGTTCAAAGCTGTGTGACCTTGGGCTACTGAACTCACCTCTCTGAGCCACAGATGCCTGGCTGGAACAGGGACTGTGGCAGTTCCTGCACCCGGTGGGGTTGAAATGAGCTGGCCCAGGTTTCGTGTTCAGCACATAGTAAGTGCTCAATACAGGCCAGCGGTGGGCATTATTATGCTGTGTTTAGGGCCAAGTCCCCGAGAAGCCCCCAACCCTGGAACAGCTTCGACCCACCTCTGACATCGGCAGTCAGAGAAGGCCGGGACGAGCCCTGTGTGCAGGGCAGAGCCCAGCCTGTGCGTGAACCACCTGTTTCAAGTGCGCCAGACGCTGGTCTAAGAGCCGAACATGAATTGTTAGCTCACTGGGGCCCTACAACCCGAAGCAGCCACTTCTCCCCTCTGTGCCTCCGTTTTCTCCTCTCTAAAAAGGGGCACGGGGTTCTTAGACGATTCCCAGCACCTCTGAAGGCTCTGCTCCCACCTGGCCGAGGCTTCCAGAAGGCACCGAGCCCGGCAGCCCGGCTCCTTCCCATGTCTGGGTTTCCCTCTCCCGGGGCTGCTGGCCAAGCCTGGTGAGGGACGCATCTGCCATTTAAGGGGTGGTGGTCTGCCCAGGCAACCCCGAAGAAGCCACTCTGGGGTCCGGGGCCAGGGGAGCCCCATCCTGAGCCGCTCACCCGGGGACCTTGAGAGGCCTGGCCTGGGGAACTGAGACAGAAGAGGGAAGAAAACAGGAGGGTCGCGGGGGGGAGAAAGGGAATTCCAGGCAACCAGACCCTGACCCTTGTCTATGGTGCGTGTGTCACACATGTGGGTGTGTGTGGGTGCATGTGTGCGTATGTGTGTACATGTATGTGTGTGCGTGTGCACTCGCGCGTGTGTGTAGGGGGCACTGCTTTGGCCACCAGCCCCCTATTCTCCTTTTTTCCCCTAGAACACCCCAAATACAAACAAGTGTATCATCATCATTTCCTTTTGCTAGCGATAGTGCCCTAATTCTAATATTTGAATGATTAGTTATGAACACATGTCATTTCCTCAATCTTATTAAAAAGAGTGAAGAACACACTTCGGAAACGAGATTTTTATGGACGAACCCCGCACCCCCTCCTAGGTCTTTCCCAGACCAGCGCTGGTCCCAAGCGGATCCCTCCACCTCTCTGGGCCCCCGCGTCCCACCGGGGTGGGTGGGGTAGAGCGGGTTTTAGGGACACGCTCCCGATTTCTCCCGTTTTTCTGATTCAGAAGGTTCCCAAGCACAGCGACCAAGCAGTGGCCCCTACACACACACTGTCTGCAAGGGCAGGGCGGCCGCGGCCGAGCAGGATCCGGAAGGGACAGCAGCCAGAGTCCGGCAGACCTGCCGGGCCCCCAGACCGCGGCTCGCCCTCCCCCGGGCCGCAGCTCCGGGCTTGCCCCGCCGTCAGCCCGGCGCTGGTTCCTTGGGCGCCCCGGCCACTCCCTGTGGTTTTGCGAACTGGCACTTACCGTGCTCAGCAGAGCATGGGCAGCTGCCTCGTGGGCTCAGGAGAATTCGCTGCTCCACACTGCAGGACACTGCTGTGCCACCCCCGCCCGGTCCTACCCCCTGCCGACGCCCAACGGCCGTGTGTGAAAGGAGGAAGCGAGAATGTAGTTACTCAGAAAGGGCCACGTGATGACCCACACCTCCTTGTTTGTGACAGCCCTGGTGACAGTTGATGTGACTGGGTGGTGGTGGCACACAGGGACCTGTGGAGCCTGATATCACTCAAGGGTTCTGGTAACCATGAAACACCAAGAACCACATGGAAATCTTCTGGGGAGCAGCGGTCGAGGGGCCATGCTGAGGAAGGTCACAGCGTTATGCCACGGTTGATGGAGAATGGGGTGGCCGGGGACCCACCCCGGAAGGGAGTAACCAGATGCAAAGGAGGAGGGTAATGGCTTCTTAGAGCCCAGGAAAGTTGTGGGGGGAGAAGACACCACGTGGGCCGCCCTGAGTGTGGCAAATGTGACGCGGTCCTTTTGCAACCCGAACGGTCTCTCTGGGTGAACAGGTGGTCCTCCCCGCTGCAACCACAGCCTCGCTGGGAAGTTAGATGGCAAACCCCATGTTCTTCGTGCATAAGAAGAATTTACGTCCTCTAGCAGGGTAACATTGGCTCAGCTAACTCGGGCTGGCTGTGCTCAGCTCCAGCGGCCCGCAGTGTCAGACCCCAGCCCCCTCGTAGCTCTTCATGTGGTGGGGAGGCCGGCAAATGACAAGTACACAGACCAGGATGACACGGTGATGTCACCCTGTGGTGAGCCCGGAAGGGCCCCTAACTCAACTTGGGTGGGGGAGGGGTGCCAGGAGACTGCCAAGGAGAAGTGGCACTTGAGATGACAAGTAGCGGGTCTGCATGAGCTGGGTGGGCTGGGTGGGCAGCTCAGGCAGAGAGCAGACCGTGGGCAACGTCTGGGGGGCCCAGGAATGCACAGAGCTCTCAAGAACGTGGCCTGTGGTTTTTGCACAAGGTGGGGCTCGGCACATGCGCAGAGAGGTTCACACCCCACCTTGCACATAGGTTGTTTCTAAATAAAATGTGGTGCCCTGGCCGGTGCGGCTCTGTTGGTTGAGCGTCATCTCATGCACTAAAAGGTCGCCGGTTCAATTCCCAGTCAGAGCACATGCCCAGGTTTCGTGTTCAATCCCCAAATGGCATATGGGGGCTATAGATGGGTATTTCTCTCCCCCCCTCAATTTTTATTAATTTATTTTTGTTACACATATTTCTCCTTTTTCACCCCAGGACACCTTCCTTCCCATCCCGCCCGCAGATATTTCTCTCTTACATTGATATTTCTCTCTCTCTCTAAAATTTTAATTTAAAAAAATACTTTAGCCCTGGCCGGTTTGGCTCAGTTGTTACAGCGTCGGCCTGCGGTCCAGAAAGACCTGGGTTCGGATCCCGCTAAGGGCGTGTGCCTCATTTGCAATTTGTCCCCGGCTCTGGTTGGTCGTGCAGGTGGCAGCCACTCGATGTGTCTCTTTCACGTCGATGTTTCTCTCTCTTCCTCTCTCTCCCTCCCACTCTACCTGAACAAAAAATTTTTTGAATAAAGTGATAAATGCGTAAAAAATAAAATAAAAACATACTTTAAAGAAAATAAATATATTTTTTAAAATTAGGACAAAATGGAACTGGAGCCCCACCGGGTGGTGTCCTTATACAGATCTACCTCGCTTTATTGCGCTTCGCTTTATTGCACGTCACAGATATATTGCAGAGGGGTTTTTGGTTTGTTTGGGTTTTGTTTTTTTACAAATTGAAGGTTTGTAGAACAAACCTGCATAGAAGAAGTCTATCGGTGCCATTTTTGCATTGGCATTTGCTCAGTTCTTATCTCTGTGTCACATTTTTGGTAATTCTGATAATAAATCAATTTTTCATTATTGTATCTGTTCCAGTGGTCGGTGACCAGTGAGCTGTGAGAAATCGTTCATGCAAGAAATCAATGTCTTTAAGAAATCACCACAGCCACCTCAGCCTTCAGCACCCCCCATCAGTCAGCATCGAGGCCAGACCCCCCACTAGCACAAAGATGATACTTTGCAGAACGCTCAGATGATAGTTAGCATTTTTTTAATACAAAAAAAAAAGTATTTTTAAATTAAACCATGTACATTGGGAGGGGGGGTTTAGACAAAACGCTATTGCAACACTTAATCGACTATAGTATAATGTAACCACAACTTTCATATGCCCTGGGAAACCCCAAGAGTCATTCGACTCGTTTTATTGCGGGGGTCTGGAGCCCACCTGCAACACCTGTGCGGTCTTCCCCCGCACACTCCTAGTGGTCACCCATGCACTAGCTGGTCTTGCTCACACTAGCCGAGGGGTGGCAATGCTCGCAGCTGTGAGTGTGTGTTCACACCAGCCTCACGGTGGGCACCGGGTCCCCACCTGTCCAGCTGTGCTTGCGCAGTGGTCTGCGTGGTTGCAGTTTGCTCCTCTGTTGTATCTGGATGGGCAGTGGAGTGGGGAGTTGTTCACACCGCTGACAAAAACCAATCCCAGAGATGCCCTGGCTGGGTAATTCAATTATTAGAGTGTTGTCTTGATAGGCCAAGGATGCAGGTTGGATCCCTGGTCAGGGCACATACAGAATCAACCAATGAATGCGCCAATAAGTGGAACAACACATCGATGTTTTTTCCTCTCTCTCTCTCTTCTGCTCTCTCTCTCTAAAATCAATAAATAAAAATAAAGATGTAAACAACACCTTAGAGACAAAGAGAGGAAGCATTTAGGTGGCCAAAGCCAGCCAAGTTTAGCTTCCACCTGTCATTTACAGGCATAAACTGGTCACCTAGACACCTTTGGTTATTAGGGAAAACGGGGGGGGGGGGGATCAAACCCTTGTGGGATCCTGGAAACAGGTGGCTGGGGAGGTCTGTACCTGACAGGCCGGGTGGAGATCTGATCATCTATTGGTAACTCACTGGAAACTCACTGTGGCCCCTTCCTGACACGATGCCCACTTCCTGTAGGACCCTCTGTCCATTTCCCTGAAAATGGACAAACTGCGGGAAAAGGAGGTGCCGTCTCCCACAGAAGCCCCCCAGGGAGCGGGGGCTCAGGGAAGGACTCAGGTCATCGGGACTGCAAACCCAGGCTCCCTCCCAAACAAGGGTCCAGCTGGCCTGCTTCTCAGGGGCAGCGGCTTCTGCATTTACCTGCCAGTCATGGGGCCTTTTGTTCAAATGAAAGCAAAGGCCTCATAAAATAGGGAACAGGGCTGCTCAAAAGAAAGTCCCAGCCCAGGGGGGGAGGGTCATACCCAGCTGCTTCCCGGTTACCATCCTCTTTGATTCAAGGAGGGTTCCCAGGCTGAGATTATGCCATTTGACTCATTTAAAGGGGAAATGGCCCTCTGGGGCCACCGCAGCTGGGACGCAATTCTGCTTCTCAAATGGGAACAGAACTGCAGGAAGTTCCTGTTCAGCCCGTCCTGCTGTCAGTCAGGCACCCTTCCTCCAGGTGGAGAACAGGGACCCCAGGGGTCCCCGGAGCAGCTGGGCACTGGAGGGCCGCCAGTGTAGGGGAGGGTGGCCAGTGTAGGGGCTGGTCCCAACCCGGAAGGTCAGAGGGCAAGCCAATCCAGAAACGTGCTGCGGACTCAGTGATTCTACAAGAGGGTTAGCAGCTGCAGGACTCCGAGCCTCCAACGGCCGCCCCGCGCCAGGCCTCGGAGGTACAGCGAGGAGGAGCTTGATCCGGGCTCTGAGCCAGACCCGCACGGGGTGAAGGGCCTGGACCCAGGCTCTGGAGCAGACCCACACGGAGATGAAGGGCCTGAACCCGGGCTCGGAACAGAACCACACAGAGATGAAGGGCCCTGGACCCGGGCTCTGAACAGAACCACACGGGGTGAAGGGCCTGAACCCGGGCTCGGAACAGAACCACACGGGGTGAAGGGCCTGAACCCGGGCTCGGAACAGAACCACACAGAGATGAAGGGCCCTGGACCCGGGCTCTGAACAGAACCGCACGGGGTGAAGGGCCTGGACCCGGGCTCTGGAGCAGAACCGCACGGGGTGAAGGGCCTGGACCCGGGCTCTGACAGAACCACACGGAGATGAAGGGCCTTGATCCGGGCTCTGAGCCAGACCCGCACGGGGTGAAGGGCCTGGACCCGGGCTCTGGAGCAGACCCACACAGGGGTGAAGGGCCTGGACCCGGGCTCTGGAGCAGAACCACACGGGGATGAAGGGCCTGAACCTGGGCTCTGGAGCAGAACCACACGGAGATGAAGGGCCTGAACCCGGGCTCTGGAGCAGAACCACACGGGGGTGAAGGGCCTGAACCCGGGCTCTGGAGCAGAACCACACGGGGGTGAAGGGCCCGGACCCGGGCTCTGAACAGAACCACACGGAGATGAAGGGCCCGGACCCGGGCTCTGGAGCAGAACCGCACGGGATGAAGGGCCTGGACCCGGGCTCTGGAGCAGAACCGCACGGGGATGAAGGGCCTGGACCCGGGCTCTGAACAGAACCACACAAGGAAGGAGTCACCTCCAACTGGCCTAAGTGGCAATAGGGTTCCCGTGGTATCTCATGGGGCTTAAGGTCAGAATGCAGCTGGACCTTGGGCACAGACTCTGGGAAACAAAAGGGACCCAGGAGCCCTTCCTCCATCATTGTACACCTGCTCTGTCTTTGCTCCCTGGCGTCCCCGACTCCCAGGCCCTCATACATGAAAACTCAGATATGACGCACTGGAGGTAACTCCAAGGGGCTCATTGGCCCAGCCTGGGGTCAGCTGTGGTCAGGGGAGGGCCGTAGTCTGGAAGCAAATCACTGCCACACAGAGAATCCAAGAGGTGCCTCCATCCCAGATGTCTAGGTTTTCAATTCATTCATTCAACAAATATTTACTGACGCACTATGCCAGACCCTGTGGGTGCCACTGAGAAGGGACCAAGTGTCTGTCCTCGCAGAGTCTGCACCATCTGGGGAGAGAGTAAACACTCAGCGAGTCGCCCTGGCTGTTTGGCTCAGCGGTTGGAGCGTCGGCCGCGGACCAGAGAGACCCGGGTTTGGTTCCCGCTAAGGGCACGTACCTCGGGTGCAGTTTGACCCCGGCCCCGATTGGGGTCGTGTGGGTGGCAGCCACTCGATGTGTCTCTCTCGCATCGATGTTTCTCTCTCTTCCTCCCGCTCTATCTGAAGATAAATGCCAAAATGTCCTCTAATGAGGATTTAAAAAAAACCCAACTCAATGAGATGATAGATCTGATGGTAATGAAGTGTAATGGGGGAGCTGGCAGGGGAGGGGGTAAAGTGGAGAGCCCTGCAGATATTGGAGGGGGTAGGGAGGGTGGGTGGTCCAGAG